GGATTGTTTCAGAGCCAGTGTCCACACTAGTCCCTCCATCTGATGTGGTTTAATCCATGCCATGGCCAACGTCCTTTGATCCTGACAGTGCCAATCCCCAGCTTTCCTTTTAGGGTACATTGTAAAGCCAGTGAGCTCTTTAAAGTGTGCCAGGGGAAATGGACATTTTCCAAAATTCTCCATAACAAACACATACACACATATTGTGCAAACATAGTAGTCTGATGTAGTTTGTCGAAGTTATTTCTATTTCATATCAATTTTTATCCTTTATTTTGTCCATGCAGAGATGATCTACCACTAAATTACTGTATCGATGTAGTGATAAGATGATCTAGCCCTAAACTTGCTAGTTTGTTAAAAACAACAATAACAAAAATCTGGAAAAAAAGTTGTATTCTTCTACTTGCATCTATTATAGTTAAAAGCATTCATTTAAAAAATTGCCTTGGCTGTTTTCTCTCTCTGCTTTTCTAGTTATCTTTGTCCAAAGATGTGCAACTGTTCTGAAAGTTTTAGCTCTGCTCCTGCGATGAAAACTGCATGCTGATGCTTGTTCTGTCACTCATGGGTCTCCTCCTCTGAATCTGGAATTCTGGTTGTACTGAAGAGGAAGAATATCAATTTAGTCATTCTCTGGCACAGGTCAGTGATACAGGTATATGGACAGCTTTTGTTTTTATCTCTGCTGTGAATTAATACAGCAGCTAATGTCTAGTGCTATCTTTAGGTAATCTTTATGGTAGCACCCCAACCCTACCCCAAAAGATAGGTGCAGATTTCAAACAATTTATGCTCAAATAAACCTATGGATGCTTTGTTATTAGAAAGTAGGATGGCTTTATATGGGGGAAAGATATATGTTGGAGCACACTAATGATTTTAGGGATGATTCCTAACTGTGCTCCAACATTGAAGTTAACATCGCCACAAGCTGCTAAGTAAAAACAGTCCTTGAAATCTGTCCTGCTGGTGTATGGATTTTTTTGTGATCAATTTCATATTAGCTTTTAAAGCAAAATTTGATAGTGCTTGCATATTCTTACAGTTTTAAGGACTGTTTTTCCTTAGTTACTTCTGAATATTCTTGTGACCTTTTTCAATTGTTTGTGTGAAAAGTATTTATTTTATATGTTATATTCCACATTCGATACAAACTATTGTTCTCAAGATAGCGAAGAAAGTAGTAAGACAGGACCAAATGACAATAAGAAGATATAGAATAGTTGAATAAAGCACACATAATAACACAACAGACTGAAATAACAAAGCACCCATTCAAATAGAAGCCAGCAAAATCAAAACTGCACGTATGCAAAAAACAACAAACAAAAACCCTGAAGAAAAAATAAATAAATGTTTTATGTGGTGGTTAAATGATAGTAATGAGGTCAGCAAGTCAGCCTGCTCTTTTCTGAACAAAATAAATGTGACCTTAAACGGCATAAGGTGAGATTGTGGCAGGCAGGGGAGGTTGTTGTACATGCACACTATCCCTTTTCTGATAACTATTAAAGTCACAAGAAGCTGACTTTTAGGGGATGTTGCTTGACTTTCCCTATTCCTTATTGCATCAGCTCTGACCTCTCTGCCACCCCACCACCCACGGCGGTAAATCAATTAATGCATGCACTGAAAATGGAAATATTTTACCTTGAAGGACAATTTATGCTGGAATTGCCCCTGTATGAGGAAAGGAGTAGTGGAAAATTTGTTAGACAACCCTACTAACATATCTGCTTACCTTAATTAACGATTTCTGATTGATCTCCTACTTTTCGGAAACATCACAATGAATCTGTAATGCTCACAATTTCCCCCCCTCAAAGACTCTGCTAGAAAAGTGAAAACAGGTCAATCTCTTGTTCAGTCTCCCCCCCCCCATAGGCATAGTTACTCAGCTGTGGAGGTATTGATCTATTACACAAAGGGTCTTTAGGGGTAAAGAAAGAATGTCTACCAGCCACAGCACCCTAGAAGATCCAAAACTGAATCAGGGAACAGTTACCATAAGATATGCATGGGACTTCCATTTTGTACAATGGTCACATACAAGAGTAATATAAATGACACCACATACATCATCATGCAGTGCCATTCCCCTTCCATCACTCATACCTCAAGAAGAGTAAACATAATAGGGAAGAGGTGAGAGTTGCCATAGAAGGGTGCCAATTCTGTTACCAAGTGTAGCCTTTCCGCCAACGGGAGATTGGGATGGTGAATTTGACTGGTTGAGTTTATAGCTTATGTTTTAAGTCAATGTTATTCTTAAGAAAACTTTAATAATTGTAGTCTTGAAGGTTCTATAGTGTTTGGAGTAAAGGGCAACCATATAGTTTCTCTCACTGTTACCTTTATGTAGCTACATGTTTGGACATACATGTAGCTACATAAAGTCTATTCCTTCAGTATAGACCCTGATAATTACTTTTAAGAACATTGAATATAATGGCATTCCAAAGACATCCATAACAAAGTATTACTACGTACATGTTCTAGGACCCAGTTAAGGGGAACTTTAGCTTTTCGATGTATTTATTCTTCTAAAAAGAAAACTTAGAAACTTAGCTGAGTGAGCCAAATACCTGGCCCCATTCTCTGTTGCTCCACTATACTGTAGCATAGTGAAGTAGGCCCATGTGAGTCAATAGAACTTATGGAGGAGATGATTCACCAAACCCTATTGATTCAATGGGCCTACTCTGGTGTGATTCACTACACTAAGCTACAGGATTTTGGCGAATGTGTTATGTTCATCTCAAGCTTAAAACACCTGAGCCCAGAGCAGCCATTATCATAGGGTTGGGAGAATAACCAAAATAGTTGGTCCCACAATTCCTGTTTGATACAGAGAGAGCACAAGAGTTACTTTCCTTATGGAAGTTCTGGTATAAGAACTGGTTGATACAGATACCCTATATGTCTTCACAGTTTCACAGTATTGCTTCCTACAAGAAGGTATAGATAAGAAGTAGGCAAATATATTTTCAGAAGAGGTAGCCATGTTAGTCTGTGCTAGCATATCAGCTTAACATAGCACAAATAATATTTCAAAGTTTTTAAAAAACATTTATGCTATGCTAAGCTGATATGATAACATGGCTACCTCTTCTGAAAATTTTGCCAACATGCTGAGGCAGACTAACATTGCTACTTCTTTTTAATATATTATAATTTATACTTTCAGAGTTATTAAGGTTTGTAGTTCGACTCTGTGGAAAAGAGGTTTTGGGGATAACATCTGCTGGGGGCAGAAGGAAAACTGCTGTCTTGCTTACAACAAAGGGGCATTACATTCCCGTTGCCAAAGACTCCACTGCTTCTAACAGCAGCTGTACCCTCTCAGGAATGGTAGGGCAGGGTGGACAACAGAAGGGAGGTGAAAATCAGTCATAGGTGGAACTGCCTCATTCTTACTTTCCAAAGAAGTAGCCATGCTATCTGTCTCAGCATGTTGGCAAAATTAAAGGGGGAAAAGAAAAATAGATGGGAAAAAAGGCAAAATATTGTGGTATTCGAAAGATTAACAGATTTCTTTTGCTATGAGCTTATATGGATCAATGGGGAGTGACTAAACTCACAAATAACACGTGTATTGCACCAGAGCTGACATGATACCATGATTTTTCCAATAACTACACAACATAACTCTATGTTTAATCTCTCTCTTCTTTTTTTTACTTCACCAGCAGGGGCTGGGGTCTCCCTCCCCCCCCCAATTTTGCAGTGTTTCACTTTGCAGTGGTCTGTGTGAGATGTGAACTCATGACCAGATCCAGTTCAATGTAATTAAATATTTCTGTTCAGAGGGTAACAGCAATTTAAGGACCAAGGAAGACTGCAACTCAATCGAATTCCAAAATGGATCAAACTGATTCGAGCACCCAGGGTAGTCATACCACATCTTCAGACACTTGAAGAGCTGTAATATTTTGCATTTTTTTCTTTTCCGCCTTTAATTCTTCTTTTGTTCCTCCTCCTTTACCATGATATTGCAGTATAACACCTTGGCCAAATTGCCACTAAACGTAAAGCAAAGCAAAGAAGAGCCGAGCCAAGCTGAGCAAACAAACACTAAAGCACAAGGACAATTGCTTAGTTGCTCCCCCTTCGAGTGGGCTCTCCTTGTTGAGGTCAGTCACAGATCTGGGTAGGCACCAAATATCGCAACCGGTCTGCTACTAAGTGCATAAACGGCAGCTCTCTGAAAGGAAAATGATTTGTGTGATTGCTTTGTTACCACATTCCATAAACAGCATCTTGACTGATTTTTCCTAGTGCACCAGGCAAAAGGCAGAATCTGTGTGGTACCGTTTCTAACCTGTTCAGTTTCAAAGTAGGCAACCCAGCTTCAGATTCCTTCTTAGATGTGTTATTTGTAGGGAAGCACCCTATCTAAGTTACCATCTCTCAGCCACACTCTAGTAAGAAGGCAGCTACAAAACAAAATGATGCTTTGAGCATTTTGGAGGAAGCACAGGATGCAAATTATACAAATAAAAGCTCTATGGTGTGCAGTGACCATTGAAAGAGGCAATAAATTTGTGAGTGGAACATGGCCCTTGCTTGTCCTCTTTCTTTCTCTGCCCAGGTCTATATATACAGAAATTGTGAATTTGCACCATGCACCTAGACTGATCTGAAAATAGGTAAGTTGTAAAGATGACATGGTTTGGGAAATGCCACACATATGTACCCCAAAAGCCGGTCATGCAGGTTTCTAACACATGCTATTAACTTGTAGGTCATCTCTGTTTCTTTCAAGTAAGTCTCCTGGCCTAAATCCTCCATAACTTAGTAGGTGATATATCACATGCATTCCCCTTGTTGTCCCCTTCTGGGTGTGTGACATACAGCGCTTGGAGGAAGTTGTACAGAAAAAGATGGTAAGCGTCAACCACAGCAGCCCCAGAACCACAACCAGGGGCTGGAAAACCCTCTTTGCATAGTAGTGGAAAAAAGAGACCTGAAGACAGTATAAAAGGAGGCGCAAGTGCACAGATGGACATGATTCAAAGTATTAATACTCACATGCAGAGCATCGAACAAGAGACTTGCACAACAGAAAAGGGTTGTCATGGCTTTTGAACACATTCCTTCATTGGTGAGTACTCTGATTACACAGGTTTCAAGTTACTATGTACAGACCCTATGTGCTTCTTGATTGTTTTCTTATTTCACTGTTTAATGGGTGAGTGCTTTAAACCCCAGGGGTATTTGATTTTGCATTATCCTTGCCATTTCTTTGTAAAAAATGTATTATTATTTTTTTTTAAGCCCATGATTTTCTTAATGTATGCTTTCTCCATATATTACTGTCTCTTAACCTACAACCTATCCAAAATTACAGCTGGTTGTTACTAGGTAAAGGTAAAGGTTCCCCTTGATAATTTTTGTCCAGTCGTGTTCGACTCTAGGGCACAGTGCTCATCCCCGTTTCGCCCATGATTTTCTTAATGTATGCTTTCTCCATATATTACTGTCTCTTAACCTACAACCTATACAAAATTACAGCTGGTTGTTACTAAACTGAACTTAAATATCTGTATGTAAATAGAAATATATATTGAAGACTTTCCTTATAACTTTGGGGAACAATTATATTTGTTTTTCCCGTGTCCTAAGTAACTCATCATGCTTCCCAGACCCACTTATTTTTCATGTGGCATCATATTTTTTCCAGTTCTCTGGTATACAACCACTATACTTTCTTAAAATGTATTTATTCTTTATTTGTTGCATTTCTTTCCCACCTTTGGAGTCACAAGTCAAAGCAGAGATTCAGATCTAGATATTCTGAGCCCTAGCAGCACGACCTTAGGCCCCGTACCACCGTGGTTGTCCTCTGAAGGCAGAACTGTCCTTTACTTGTTAATGCAGACAGGGACAGCCCTTCTTCCTCGTGGTCTCTGTGGACTCACACAAACGGATTTTCTGCACCTGTTCAGATGACTGTCTGATTTTTGTGCATTGTTTTATAGAAGTAGCAGAGTAATTACACAGAGGGCAATGATTTCTAATGGGTGGATTAGAAATGTTAAGTAAGATTCCTCAGACAGACAGCTGGATCAAATTAGTAACATACAAGCAATTTAAAAACATCTGGAAATGCCATTGATTGCATTGGAGTGCAGACTCCAAAACCTCTTCAAAACAAGCAGATTTTAATATTGAAATGCCTACAAAATTATTTATTGATAGAGCCACTTGATATAATAATTAGCATAGCTTTGCGTCTTATCTTGCTGTCAGTGAAGGAAGCATAGTTTACAGATGACCGCACACTTTAATGAACTTGGAATAACAAACATTTCCTTCAGATCAAATAATTTTTCTTCAACGAATTACCCTCCAATAGACCATCTAACAACAATCTTGTGAAGCTGTGTTTTCACCTACTTGGAAGCATACTTTATACAAATTATTGCATTCAGTAATTTGTCGGACATACACATTATTGTCTTATGTTTTGTGTTTTAGTTCCTTTTAGATTTAGAAGAGGATTAATTCATCTTTTAAATGATGCCATCTTCCTTGTCCAGTAATTTGTCGGACATACACATTATTGTTTTATGTTTCAGTGTTTTAGTTCCTTTCGGATTTAGAAGAGGATTAATTCAGCTTTTAAATGATGCCATCTTCCTTGTTTTGAAACTGTGTTTCATAGGATTCACTTTGTTTGGTCAACTGATCTGAGTCCTAAAAAGCTGTTTATTGTTATTAACATCATAATCATCATTATTACTGACTGCGACTATAAGAATCACCAGCTTTGGAACTGACTGGTATATCAACGAATATTAAAATACATTCCTGAATGATTTGTGAAGATGGCAGTGGGATTTTGGCTTTATTTGAGACACATCTGCCTACACATCACAAACCAGCAGTGGTTTGGCAGTTCAGCAGGAAGACTTTGTAATAGCACTTGCAGAGAGGACATAGTCTTTTTAGATGTGAAATTTATTCTCACAATATTTATTGGGATTCTAATCTTTCTGTGACCATCACTAGATATTATAGATTTTGTGTTTATGGGGTATGTGATGCATAGTTTCCTTTCTGATTTTCAATCAAACCCAAGCACTGATTCCCCTCATTTTCCAGAAAGGATCATTGTTTCTAATCACACACTTGTGTTTTTAACTCCTAAACTCCAGTACTGGCATAGCACAAGCCACTTAACACAGACTGACTTGTGCAATAGATTAATTTCTATTATCCACCCATTCTCATCAGTTTCAAATTAAAGTTGATACTATCCTGGATCTGATTAAGATATGTCCTTTTGGGGAATCCATCATATATGTAAAAAGTATTAATCATCTCTTTTAGATCAAGATGCTGATGCTAATGCTAGCTGTTATGAATGTAGTCCAAGGAAAAGTCAAGCAGGAACACAATGAGAACATGAGCGACAACTGTCCAACCCAAGAGAATGCCAAATTTCCCAAGAGTGTGATGGTTGACATACATGTTGGTCACATCGAATCGAATAATGGGATTCCCTCTAGCATTAGGAACAGATCTCTCTCTCCATGGGATTACAGGTATTGTATATATTTTCATTGACCCAAATATATTGACTGTGATACGGTGGATGAATGACAATCTGCTGCACTTTTTCAGCACTTGAAAAAGTCCAAGGGGCAAGAGCTGCCAAATATGGCAAGGCAGATCACAATTTTATTCTTATAGGACAAAGCAGCCAGCTGGTGTTTCTAGCAAACAAACTGGGAGGAGAGGTTCCTGGAGAATTGGATGACACTTGAATAATTAAATGCATCAGTTCAAGAGTGCTTAAGGTGCCTCATGGTCACATACATTTATGGGCAGATCTGTAGCACTAAGAGTCACTTAATTAACTACTCCATTTGTGTTTAATTGCTCACAGTCATTTCAATTAGACTTTATTATTACAGTCTCACAATTTCTGTATTACGTTGCCTCAATGGCATCCATAATTTTCTGTGTGGTATCATTTTCTCATCTCACTGTGTTCCATGGTAAGGTCCAACAGTGGCAGAAACGCCCTCAGTGACAGATAACATTATAGCACAACAGTATGCTAGGGAAAAATTCCAAGTGCTTTCTGAGGAAAAGCAGTTTTTGTTCTGTGTCTTGGGGGTATCACAGGACAATCAGAATATGTGATACATAACACTTTTTCATCTTTAATATAATATAACATCTTTTTTTACCCTTAATACACTGATCACACCTGATTTCAATAGTTAAGTAGCAATGACATGGTTAGTACTTGCATGGGAGGTCACCAGAGAATACTAGGGCTGTGAAGAAATGCTGTCAGAGACCCTGGAGAGAAATGCTGCTGGGCTGGATGGACCAATGGTCTTAGCTGGTGTAAGGCAGCTTCCTGTGTTCCTAATATTGGAAAATGTAGCATTAGGCGCAAAAACCTCAAACTTTCTCTTGTTCTCTCTGTTTTAAATATCTAAAATTTAGTAAGATACAATATATAAAACCATTAAATAATTATGAACCATCAAACTCCACATAATAAATTTATTAGTTAACATAACACATATTTCTATAAATCTGCATGAGTGGCTGGCAGGTTGCTAAGAGAATCAGTATGATTATTACAATATTGAATAAATACCGGTATTTAAATATTTATAAAACTTGTCTGTACTGGAATTCTAGTACCTACGTTGTGTGTGGGCAATGAATTTTTCCATCAAAACTAATTTCCATACAAATTTCCAAACATTCATTGAAACTTCTGCAGCTGTCTTCCAATAGTGAGCAATTATTTGTCTAGTTTCGACACACAAAAAAGTAATTAGCTTTTTATGATGTAGTAGTGCATTGGAATCTTAAGAATAGAATTATTAATCCCAGTGCTGGATTTATAACCAAACATGGTAATGTTGTATTTCTGAACACCTTGATCCAGAAATTATTTATTTTAAGGCAATGCCATCAAGAATGTAAAGATGTACTTATTTTCTCTCTGTGTCTCTCTCCCTCTCTGTCTCTCCCTCTGTCTCTGGCAGCCAAGTCCACTCTGGGCACTGAATCAATTTCTTTACAGCAGCTTCAACAATCTGGGTTCAAATTTTTGTTTATATGGTTCAATTTCAATGGGGCATAACACCATTGGTGTACCACTTTCAGGCAATGTTCTCTTACCATAGTTGAGATTGAGTTAAAAGGTTTCCTAATCCACAACCTTTTTCAGTTCTCATCTCTATCTCCCAGACATCTTTGAGCCCACTTGTATTACCATATAATTAATTAAGACTGAGTATATCTTAGCATTGAGGCCCTTAATCTCTTCATTAGCCAAAAATAAAACTTTCTCACAAAACTTACTCGAGGCGACCCACTGCTGTTTCTCTCGGGGACATTTAGTTTTGGAGAGGGGTAAGAACTATTCAGTTGCTTTTCACAGCTCTGCCTATTTATGTTTGATTCTCTAAGATGTGTGGGAGGAGAACTGGTGTGATAAGGTCTTTTCTCCTTGAGTACAATGCACCAGGACATTGGACAGTCAACTATGGACATCTTATGAACATTGATCCAGCAATGACTTTTGGCTATTAAAGCCTTCCCTGTGTCACATCTCAAGGCTTTCAAAGGTCTCCCTAGATTGAAAAGGAACCCCAGGGAGCCTGAAAACTTGATGTGTGGGAATAGGACAGTTTAAATTAAATTGATTTAAATTAAATTATTACCATTGTGGGCTGATGACATTATTGTAGTTGTGCTGTATAAAGGTACGCCAAACAAGATTTCAGCCACCTAAAGCTAACTTTATATGGTTCATGCCAGCCTATCATCCTGCCAGGAATAGTTGGCTTTCCATGTTTTATTTTAAGAGTCCATATACTTCAATGAATAAAAGATTCTGTCATCTTAGTGACTTTGTCTTACTCTCTCTTTGCAGTATTAATGAGGACCCTAACAGGTTTCCCCGCATGATCGCTGAAGCTAACTGTCGCCATCATTTTTGTGTGTACCCCAATGGGCAGGGACTCAACTACAGCTTGAGTTCTGTCCGCATTCAACAGGAGATCTTGGTACTCAAACGTAAGCAAAATGGTTGCAAGCAAAGCTACTGGTTGGAGAAGCAGCTGGTTACTGTTGGCTGCACCTGTGCCATTCCTACCAAAACTGTCTATGCTATGCACGGTGTTCGAAAACGCAGAGGACTGATCTACCGGGGTAAATGATGAACGACAGCTGCAGGAATTGCCATAGAAATAAAAAATTAAACAATTCATGTGTGAGATTTCCCCACCCTTCAAATATTTAAATATTTCAATGTAACCTCTTCCGTGAAAGATGACTTTATTCACAGGATCAAAAATGTCTTTTCACCTGTCCTTGTGGAAGAACATCTCTCTTTTAAAAGCTCTCAAAAGGACATACACCCTTCTCTGTCCTGAGTTTCATGTCCTTTTTACACCATCCACTTGGTTTGTCTCAAACATCTCTGTGTTGTGTATTTTGCTTCCAATGCCTATGAAATGTGAATTGTAACTAAGGGAGAAGAAGAATATGCTGTCACCAGTATTTATAATACTTATTTATGTAACTGTATTTATACATCTGCAAATCCTGAACAACATTATAGTTTATTTGTATTTATTCAATAATTTATGCTGTTAATAAAAAGACAGAGTTACTGAGCTCTCTGTTCACACAGTGGTTTTTTTAAAGGCCATCTATCTTTGGGTTGAAATAGTTAAGACAATTGGTTACATGTTGTATCACAAGAGAAGCGGACGGTATTGAGCTTGTTCGGACACCTGGCAGTCTAAGGACCTGCCTTTTGATATTGGTAAGCAAATGGAGGTACCCACTTGTAGCAGACAGAGAGGCTGTTACCTAGGTTCAAATTCCCACTTGGACATGAAAAGTCATGGCACTTGGGTGCAGAAAGAAACATAAACATTTCAAAATCCATGACTAGATGTGAGGGTCAGTTTCTTTGTTTAAAGCAAGCTCTAAAATGGCGACTGCATAATCTGCTCAGAGATTGTAGGTTTCAGTTTTTCCCTTTGGTGATGTCCCAGACGTTTTAGACAAAAAGCTACCAGTCACTAAGTACTCCCTGCCACAATATCTTTTTTTGAAACCCATGGTTTCTTTTTAGTTGAGGGTCAGAGGCACACAGAAACATAGCAAACCTCATATCAGAGAAGTAAGGATAAAATTATCTAGGCAAGCCACTTGCAGCCAAATTAAAACTGTTTACCTAGTGGTCAGAGGAAACGGTTTTCTCAGTTTTCAGTCCTCCTTGGGGGATGTTAATGTCCTTGCTTTGTTGTAAGTGCTTCCCTGGTCAGTTATTTGAGCTATTTTCCATAATCGCACAATAAAAAACAAAGTCATGTGATCCTTGTACGCGATACAAAGAGAAGGTTGCTTGACACCTTTCTTAGACCGCCAAAATATCAAAAGAAAATATGTTGTCACCCGCCCAGAGTAGTCAGCACAACTAGATGGGCGGGCTATAAATGGAATGAATGAATGAATGAATGAATTAATGAATTAATTAATTAATTAATTAAAAAGCAGCTAATTTTTGACTGCATTCTAGAGATCAAGGTACTTAGTGAGGAGCAGCTCTTCATCTAACAAGTTTAGAGCATTCGAATCCACACCAACAGAGGTGAAATCTAAGAACAGTCATGGCAGCTGAGTGCAGCCTTTATGACTTTTTTTTTCTTGTGATGGTGGGGATTGCAGTGGACCTGCCAATGCAGAATAAAAGGGGAATGAATGAACCATGGCCATTCTACAATAAATCCTAGTCTGGAAGTTGGCTGGATCAAAAGAAAAGGCATGGTATGGCTTTATCTTCTGTTTATCTGTGTAAAAACCAGTTTATTACCCTGCAGAAAGGGATACTTACAACTGAAAGGTAGCTAACAGCGCCCTCCCCTCTAAGCTAATGACAGTGTTCACCCTATCATGAGGCATAATGTACTAAGATAAGTCACTCAGATGACAAGACCACATTGATGTTAGGCAGCAGATCTTGGGTATTGGATGTGAGCGAGAAGGCATGTTCCCCATGATTTTTTTCTCTCCCACAGCAGCATTAATCATGTCTCCTCAGAAAAAGAAAGGGAAAGGACATTTACAACACGTTTACATAATGAGAAATCCAACAAATATTCTGACCCCAAGTCTCTCAAGTGTCTTAGCAAGGCCCTTTGTACACCCACATGTTGCCAGTTTTTCTTCTGGTTTTCTTTTGCTGCATTGCTGTTGCAGCTTCTTATGTTTTGATTGTAACTCTTCACAGTCCAAGAGCTGCATATGATAGCCTTGTGAGAAAAGGGATAAACCTTGGTGATTCTTGAAAATCCAAAAGCAAGGAGGGTCATACCTTTATCAGGTCAGTAAAATGTTACAAACCGGGGAGCTTTTGAATCCAACAGGGCCCTTTATCAGGCTGGGACAAAGGAGAGAAACAGAACAGTACAAATATTATCCCAAATTTGACATCTGATCGGGTTAATTTTCAAATTATTCAGTGTCTTTCCTTCAACTCTCAAGCTCTGCAATGCCCACTTGATGGACAGTCCTGCTAGACTTGAAAGCTCACCTGTTCCTAGTACTTTGGTGGTCAAAAAAAGTATCACCTAGGTACTGTTGCTTTTGGATTGTGTGATATTCTTGACAGCAGTGGAATTGTGACTTTGAACTTTGTACTGAGCGTGGGAGATGTGTTTGGAGACCCTGCTTGCAAGGTATGCAAATGGAGAAGATAATTTTTTCCCTTTTTATTTTTGGTACTTTTGTACAAAATTCTAGTTATTTCACCAATTATGGTGAATAACCACAGACATTTTCTTAAGCTCCTTCCGGAAATATCTGCCCAGCTATGGCAACAGACGTTTCCGAAATCACACTAGATCTTTAAAATGTCAGCTGTTTTTGTTTTGACGCTTTGCTCAACCAACAAGTATTTATTTTTAAAAAGTACGTATCTCATTTTCTTTCCCTTTTACGTATGTGCCCAGCAATGTGGTTCCGATGTTGAGTCAGCCTGCCCTACATTCAACACCTCTGAAAAGCATGTTACAGTGGAAAAGGTAGCAAAATCAGGAAGGCAAGGAAAAGTATGGCACAAAGCTTTCCCAGAAACCGTCACAACCCCAATCAGATCACCAGGAATGGCGAAACCTCCAAATAGACAGACTGAAGGGAGAACAATCTAATCTGCCAGCAGTCCGAGTAAAAGTGTATTTACTTAGTATTTCTCAATGATGAGCATGTTTAATTGTTTTTGATAAAGTAGTTGATTGGATTTTAACTGTTTTATTATTTGCATTTTGAAATGCTCTGGAAGCTGCCTTGGATCCCTATAGGGAGAAAGACAGGGTATTCTAACTAAATTTTCTTTCAAAAAGGTTAAGGAACACTGTTCTAACTAACTAATTAACTAACTAAAGCTGTCCTTGGCCTGACATTCGTGCCACCTTGTACCCACCTTGTCCTGGGCACATCAGGATCCTTTATACTGTTAAATCTCTCTTACCTTCCCAATTTTGGCAACATGGAAGTCCCGTCCTCCCAGAGCTAAGAAGGGTTAACACTGCCCGGCAGCAGAACTGCAGACAAGGCAGTTTTGCAGAAAATGCAAGTCACTGTCTTTCTGGACCTTTTCTCTTCTACAAGAGGGCTTTTTGTGGCACAGCCTGCAGCCTGCAACATCTGCCTTGTGTCAAACAGGCAGAAATTGCCTGTGGAGGAAATAGGGTTTGACAGGATTGGGGAAAGTGTCTCCCTCTTCTCCCATGCTGCCTCCAGGTCCCCTGGATTGCCCCAAATCCCACATCCCCCCGAAAAAGTTGTGTTGAAAAAAATGGTCAATTTCCACACCAGAGGACATCACTGCTCATTGTGGGCAATTGGCCACTGCTGGCTTCCTTTGCGAAACAAGAATATACTTCCTATAGAAATGCCATTTTGGAATTTACACTGTTAAGAGGAAACATTTCAGTGATATTTCAGCATGGGAAGTGTTTCCCCTTTCCGTTTGTGTGTGTGTGTTTGTTGTTGTTGTTGTTTTGCACCATCCTATCATTTCTGATTTATGGTGATCATAACAGGGTTTTCAAGGTTTATGAGATGTTCAAGTAATGGTTTACCATTCCATCTGTCACTGAATTTCCATAGATGACTGTGCACTTAACCCCGGGTCTTCTAAATCCTAGATTGGCATTACACCACAGAGATGTGTGGGTGTGTGTGTGTGTTATTCAGGGTTGAATCCCAAAATACCTTGCTATACATTGTTTGTTGTGATAACTTTTAGAGCTCATCATACTGGAATCCCAAAATACCTTGCTATACATTGTTGAGATAACTTTTAGAGCTCATCATAATTGGTAGCAGTGTAAATCCTCTCATAGGCACTCCTTGACATTTATAAATGAAAACTCCTAAGTCTCATGTCTATCCTAAACAACATCCTTGCATATAATATATGAAGCTGTGCTTGGATATACATTACATATAATAGTATCTTTTCAGTGGTATAGCTTCACTTGCCAGAAGATAACGTCTGGGGAAGAACTTTTGCTTAAATTGAACTTGTATTATTTCCTAAGATTTACACTACAAAAATAATTTTCTCTGGCATTTGATTTTACCCTGTTTCTCTTTAGTTAACAATCTGTCACTAGTGTTAGAAATAATTTTGTTAACACAAAATTCAGTTTGCTCTCCAAAAGGAAAATAAAATATAAAAAACAACACTGATTATATACACTCTGTGCATGTGCTTCTGGGGAAATAATAACTACTTCAAAAAGTTTTTTTTAAGGATACAGACATACACATATATATATTGTTCCCTAGAAGAAAACAGAATGGCAAGAAAAAGTAAGCAACACTACACCTTTAGATTATTTTGTGTTGGTTACATTGGTTGTCTATTTCTCTGCTCAACTCAGGTAGCTGGTTTTTTAATTTAAAGCTGTAAATTGCATTGACCCACATTGTCTGAATGACTATCCAAATGATATGAACCTGCACATTATTAAGATGAACTCTGGCTCTTTGGTTGATGAGCAAAAAAAATTAAGAGTAATAGGGGCTGGACTTTCTCAGTTGTGACCCACACCTTTGGAATTTGCTCACAAGGATGTATGTATAGCTCTTGTTACTATGTCCCATAAAATGTATTCTGATGTATTGCCATATGACCCTATGAATCAGGAATCTCCTTTACTGAGTCAATCTATCTCATATTTGATCTTCCTCTTTTTCTGTTGCCTTCCACTTTTCCCAAAATTATCATCTTCTCCAGTGAGTTGTGCCTTCTAAGTACAATGGCCTCCGTTTAGTCATTTTCACTACTACAGAGTTCAGGTTTGATTCAATCAAGCACCATCTTGTCTTTCTGGCAGTCCAGGATATATGCAAATATTGCACTTTAAAATATATATTTTTTCATTGCCAGCTTTCATCAGTCCAGGATATATGCAAATATTGCACTTCAAAATATATATTTTTTATTGCCAGCTTTCATTGCCAGCTTTTTTTACTGTCCAGCATTCATATCTGTACATAGCAACCAGGAATACCAGGAATACCGTTGTGTGTATGATCTTGGCCTTGGCCTCTAGCATATCTGTACATAGCAACCAGGAATACCATTGTGTGTATG